TTTTTTTGTGCATTTGTAAAAGGTGTTTTAATCACAACTTTGGTTAATATTCTGTATTTACTCCTTATGCATCTTCTAGCTTTGTATGCAGTGAAGGTGCGAGCGGAGACTATGCAGAAGGCCTCAGAACTGGTTCCCAGTGGGATGCTGTCAGTCATTGGTAGACCTCAGGCTCAGTATAATTATGCCTGTCTGCAGGCAAAAGAGCACTGCAAGAGTCTGGGGATGGAGAATCCTGTGTGCTCTGTGGCCAACTACCTGTTTCCAGATGGCAGGGTTATTGCAGGGCACCAGCAGGTAATGCGTTCATATATTCTTGCTGCTTTAATATACCGTGAATCTATTGTGTTCTCTTTTCTGTCTTTTCTCTCAACCATCAAAGAAGTTGTTAGAGCTGCTCTTGTCATTTCTGCTGTCTTCCTTGACTTCTCAGGCTCTGGATTTCCTCCAGGAAAACTCTCGGCGCCTAAAGTTCATGCGGACCAAAACTCTCCCAGTCAGTGGTGCGTTCCATACTGAGCTGATGGTATCGGCTACTGAACCTCTCAGAGAGGTGCTCCGGCAGGTGGAGGTCAGTCAGCCACTTTATCCAAAAGGGATTAACATATTTTCTGAAACATGCATTCAATTACTCTGTAAAGTTACACCAGTCCTCATTTTTTTAAGATAACCCATCCTATTCAGTCTGAATCGGAAAGTTAAATGGAAAGTACACCCAAGATTTTACATCTGGTCCTTAGCAGGTCTTAAAATTAAGTAAATACAAGCACATATGAGCTGCAAAACAACATATAACACAGTGTAATTTATTTAATTAAAAAATAAGCCTAAATAAGCAACACTGTAAAGAAGATTTGGCCATGTTAGGGACTGATAAAGTCAGGGTCCATGTGTTGTTCATCTGACATTGTATTTAAATCATTTTTGAGCCACTTAACCACAAGTTCCATGTGCGATTTCCTATTCGTCCCCTTCCCGTCCAGGTACGACGTCCTGAGATCAGCGTCTACTCCAACGTAGATGGAAAACGTTACATGAACGAGAGCCACGTGCGCAGGCAGCTTGTTAAGCAGCTGGTGTCACCCGTGAAATGGGAGCAGACCCTGCACGAGATCTACGAGAGGACGCAAGGACAGCATTTCCCACACACCTACGAGGTCGGACCCGGAAGGCAGCTGGGCGCCACGCTTCAGAAGTGCAACAGGAAGGCATACCAAACGTACGCCCATGTGGAAGTCACCGCATATGAAGACTGATAAAGCTCCTGTGGTTGCTTCTTGTCTTTATACAAGTGTGTAATTAAAGATTTTTGTAATTTCTTTTTTTAATTTACAATGTTGTCACATTTTTGTCTTTAAGAAGTTTATTTGGCGTCACATGAAAAAGCAGTTTCAAATCTTGAACAGAAAGTCCAGCTCCCTTCATTGTACACTAAGCAATGCTACATATCATTTGAAAAAATTTTGGCCTCTTAAACCAGTAAGAAACAAATCTGGATACAAAAGACTGCAAGCCAGCAACAGTCCAGTCAACATGTTTTCTGACATGAATCAACATGTCACTGCTACAATAAACTGGCCAACTCCTTAGGCAAGGCTAGATTTCCTTTAAACAATTTACTCCCAACTAATTTTACATTATACTTCTTTTTTTTCTTCTCTTTTGAGAGAAGAGGTTGTCGTCCTCACTTTCAACTTCAATACCGCTCAATAAAAACAGTTATTTTAAAAAAAGGAAAAGTCAAAGTAAACAGCAAGAGAAAACAGCAGTAATTCTCACTCGATAGCAAACATATTTTGGCAAACATGGCTGAGAAGACCTGCTCGTGGCCCTCTTAAGCTTTCTGCTCCGTCCATAGTGCACTGAAAATGGTCACCATGGCCACCAGTGCCACAGTAACAAGTGCTCCTCTGTTCCACCCAGTGCAGGTTACTGGGTTAAAGTTGGATGCCTGTAAAATGAGACATAATGAGAAAAAGTGGGCTGTTTTGGATAGATGTACCAAATTATATTTAATATAACACGACCACACAACAGTCAACAATCCAACAAAGCAAGACGGCTCAAATCCACCTATTTTGACTATTTTGGCTCTATTATTTTTATTTTGTTATGTTTAAATTGTTTTATGTATAGGTTCTTATCTAAAAATCATATTTATATTGGGGTTCAAATTGAGAAAGTAGTTCACAGATGGGATCCACTTTAAAATCTTTGATTCTTTATTAAACTGTCTGCCAATTAAACGTTTTTGCAGGTTATGCATCTGTTGACAAATTTTAACTAAATAAATAACTGTCGGTATTTTAATCTGGATAATCCACGTGTGGAAAACTGAGCAAATTATCAGTTATTAACAGGTATAAGTGGGATAATGATGTTAGGGATAAATCTGCTGCAAACTACTTGCTTCACATATTTGGTTTGGCAGATTTTTTTTTTTTTAACACAGGATGACTTTGCATGTGTAAACCTCTACACTTTGAAGTCATTGGATAAACCCGCTGCTGTAAACGGAAAGATATCTCTTTTCCTTGGAATACAAAGCCTTAATGCAAACACTAAGAGCAATGAACCTTTATGCATACGTATAATTCAGAGATGCGTTAAAGAGAAGAGTTACCCAAGCTGTCAAGGCCTCAACTCTGAGGATCCCCTGCCCAGGTGCAGTGCTCACTAACCAGGTCTTCATTGCAGCAGACAAACCCCGAAAAGTTCCTAACTGATTGTGAATATCCCTATGAGGAAGCAGTGAGAAGTTAGAACCAATCACACAAATGTAATAGTTTGATAAGTGAAATAAAATAAGAGGGAAAAATTTATTTTTTTTACCTATAGATGGTCCGAGTCAGTGCCTGGGCAGGTCTCAGGAGGTTTAAGGGAGTCGGAAGCTGGTTTGGCATTCTGCTGGCATACTCTCGGTCTAGCTGGTCACCGATTAAAGCCAACTGGCGGCCACAGGCCTGTGCAACCCTGTCACTGATCCTGAGGGAGGAAAAGGCAGGTGTGTTTAGAATCCATCATAAATATGGGAAACTCAATAAAAATCTCTTTTTTATAAAGTTGTTTTTGCCCGAGGCACAAGCCCGAGCTGTGTGTTTGTTTTTGGTATTAATAGTCGAACTGGGGCAAGGGCGGGACTATACAGTACCTCAGGGTGCCAGGGTCCACCTCACTAGGTCCAGCCTGGAGGGCGATGACACGACTTGGGCGTCTTGTTTGTTCCACCATTTTGTTTTCTGAGAACATATATGCAAATTGTTCATATCGTGCAGCAGACTGCTAAGAACATCAACAGGACAGACAATGGCTCCACAGCCTGAAAGTGTCTGTGTGTTATCTTTGCTCAGGCTCCCAACGGTCAATAACAGGCTGTGTAAATACTGGCTCATGTGACCAGGATAGGTGTGGACTGGGTTACTAGGCTGAAAGAAAAAAAAACAGCTCCAGAGATAACATCATCTCTTGGCTCAAGTCCAACCTTTGTGCTGTACTTTCTTTTTAAACTGCAGCAAAAATGCATTGCAATGCTTTCATGTTTACGACCAACTTACGACAACTCAAGACGTAACACTTTACATTCAATTTGCCTTTTTCACTGAATTTTTTGTTTTTGTCTTAAAGTCCAGCTTAAAACAGGTTTATAATCTCCCAGGTACACCTGTCTTGAGATCAGTTCCTGTTGCACCTGCAATCCTGCCATTTAATGCAAATGCTGAATTTCCATAACTCAAATTAACCAAACTGCCATTTTACTCTCACAGAGAAGGATAGAAAAACACCACCGGGTCAGAAGAATCAGATCACAAGCTTTAAATACTATAAATCTTGACAAATCAAGAACTGGTTTTCCCTGGATTTGATTGCAACGTCTTTATTTTTACAAACCCTTTTTCTTTTGGCAAAACATCAGCAAACTGAAGCCTTAAACGTGGAAACATAAACACCACCATTAAAACGACAGGCAGCCATCAGGTAGAAGCCATATTGCCACAACAAAGTGCGGAGTCATTGCTCTCAGCAAACAAAGGTCGTTTTGAAGATCACACATATTGAATTAGATAAACAATAAACAGGTATTAAACCATTTAAAGACTTAAATTAGTGTATTGTATCATGTTTGAGCAGTATAATATTAGATATTAGTCGAGTATGAATATCCCAACCCTGAGAAGTAAACAGGTGCACACTCTCGTTCTCTCTCTCTCACACACACACACACACAAAAGGAAATTAAAAACTACCTTTTTATGTTGATTAAGTGGACGCCGCCCTGAGATAAAAGCAAACAAATTAAAAATAAACATTGTAATGTTAAAAATTGCTGGAAAATACTGAATAAAAGCATCATTTCGAAGTGTTTTCTTCCTCTACTTACAGCAGCGCCCTTTAATCTCGACGCTCTCAGGTAACTGCTGCCGCTAATGACAGGACACACCTTTATCTGTCACCGCTGGGGCTTCCGCCGACAGTGAACACCAGGGGGCCACCTGTAAGATGCATTCTGGTAATGTTTGCAGGGTTATTATTAATAACCACAGCTTAAAATTACTCTGCGAGGTGCGCGGTTGGGCTGGGGTAGGCTCCAGGCTGGGTTATTTACAGGTCCAAGAGGGTTTCTGAAGTCCGGAATGGAAACCAAGCTCACAGAGGAGCAACTTCTAGGAAAGAGGACAAGGTGACGTTAGCGAGGTAGGACAGGTGAAGTTCAAGCAGACAAACACGAAGCCTAAACTGCATGACTGCACCAAGCCTGTCGTCCAGGCATCTACCTGGAAATCCACATTCCAGCCATAATCCATTTTCTTTCGTTTTAAAACTAATTAAATTATTTTAATTAGTTATAAATTAATTTAATGCTATTGTTACACTAATTCTATCTACATTTGTGATGTTATTAGTCATACAGTTTCATGTGTTTTCTTTTTTTTCGCAACCGTGTAGCAGGTTGCATATTACTAAACCTACACTTTCTCATACGTTAGAGTAAGAGCATGCCTGTGTTGCCTGTCTGGTGAGCCACAGGCAAACAGGCAAAAGCTGTGTATTATTGGCATAAAGTTAGGTCTGTTATATGCAACTTTATCATCTCTGAAATGGGGTGGTGATGGGTTTGTGGTGATTCGTAGAAAAAGATTTATAATCTATGAACGGAGCTACTGATTCCACTTTTTTGCTGAAAACAAGTAAGCAGCTGATAGCTGAATGAATATCAGCAGTTTTGAAGTCCTGAATTTTTAAATCGGACATGTAATTGAGTCAAACACATCAAAATGGTTGTCTTTTATGCTTATATTCCATATGAGCCATTTAATGACATTACATCCTGCTGGACAAAACTCATCTCACAATCCTGTAACAGCTAGCTGCCTAGTAGGTAAGTCAAATACCAATATTACTATAATTTTTAACAGTATTACTATAACTAATGTTGTTACAAAAATATTAGTATTAGCATACCTTTTTGTCATCTTTTTGTACATAAAACCTGAAACGCATTGAACACGTAGCATTTAAAAACGGGTATTGCTAAATGAATATGTGTTAAAGTATATCATCGTTAGGAGAGTATTTATATGTGAATAAAAAATTGTTCGTATTTGATTATTACAAATGAAACCTGTGTGAATTTCATGACGCAGATCAACTTCATATGGAATTTGAATTGGGTGTAATCAGTCAATATGCTTTGTATCAATGCTTCAGGCTGCTGTGGTGTAATGTTGTTGGGGATGTTTTCTTGGCACGCTTTGGGGCCCTAACTGATTATCATTTAAAACCACAACCTACCTGTTTACTTTTGCTGACCATGTCCATCCCTTTATGACCGAAGTGTACCCATCTTCTCATGGTTGCTTCCAGCAGGATAATGCACCATGTCACCAAAACTAATAATAATAATAATAATCTCAAACTGACCTCCACAGTCACATGATTTCAAGCCGGTAGTGCACCTTTGGGTTATGCAACCGACACATCGTTAGGCAATGATGCTACTATATCAGGAAAGTTTCCAATACCTTACTGAATTTATGTCATAAAGAAGCTCTGAAATTGATAAGTGGCCAACTCTGTACTAGCAAAGTGTACCTAATGAAGTGGCTTTAGGGACATTGTTTTACAATGACCACGATGCGGTGCTTGTCTGTTAACTCGGACCTTATTATCTTGAATGAAGAAACAAACTAATGCTTACTGTTCACGAATACATACAAGGTAGTAAATAACTGATGTTTCATTTTTCTGGAAGGACGCGATGCATTGTTGCCACCCACAGTCCAACACTGACCTCTCCTGGTGCTTTCTTGTAGCACGCCACACAATGACATCACTGCGTCCTCGGTTGCTAGGTAATTCTTCCGGAAGGACCAAGCCCGTAACGACGTCCTTTAGTGGTTTTGAGACCTTTTCTTCTTTAAACGTGTCGCTAATTTTTTTTAACGTAGTTACTAATCTGTGTACATGTAATTACATTTACATAACAAAGACTTTTATTGTGAAGAGGAGTTTGACTGTGCTGGGCGTTTTCGTCTCTGTCCAGCTTCACGTCGCCGGGATAATTAAAAAGCAGCTTGTTGGCGATTAAAACAGCTAGCATGGAGGTAGCTTTCAGTCGCTAGCTGCTTCTGCTGATGGTGTGTTTCGCTGTGAGTTTAGCTCAGGGACAGTTTGTGGGTATTGCATCACTGACCGGATGATGTCCGCCCAGCCTCTGCGGCAGCATCAGCAGCCCGGGGAGGATTCAGCAGCTTGCTAACAGAGCCAGCCCGGCTAGCTCATGCTGATGACTGGCTGTTTTCCTGGCATTGACTTTCAGGTAGTTCACTGGTGCAAAATGCTTTAGTTTCTTGTAAAAGAATGACATTTTTCAAATATATGTCTATGCATTGGTCCTGTCTGTCTGTGGTGCTTTTCTATGTGTTTACCTGTTGTTGTTTTTTTTGTACTCCACCCTAGTGGGAGGCACCATGTCCGGTAAGGTTAAGTGGGTGACAGATATTGAGAAATCAGTGCTTATCAACAACTTTGAGAAAAGGGAATGGATTCAAGTTACAGAAAACGACGACTGGAATTTCTACTGGTAGGTTTTATATCTACAGCACACCTGCACCTGTCCAGCTTGGATAAATACATTCAATTGGCACATACACAGGCACATAAGTTCTTCCTGCTTATATGATGCAATTACAAGTAAAGGTCCTGCATTAAAAATCATACTTATAAAGTATTCATATGATTAATCTTGACCTCAATAGCGTGTTTAGATTTAAGCAAGGGCGTGCTTTAACTGGTTTACAACAGATATTGTTATGTAGGGTTAGGGTAGGGTTATGTAGGGTTAATAAAAAGTATAGTTATGGTAATCTTACAAATAAAGAGAATAAAATATAAGAAATAGCAGGGGGTCAGTAAGAAAAAAATCAGGAAAGGCTCTTTGATAACTGTCTGCTCCCAGAAGACATTTAAGAGGTCAGAGATCAGTTTTCTTCAGGGAGATCGTTCCAAAGGTTGGGAGGATTATTTGACATGTAGGCTCATGGGCTACTAAGAAGTCAGACGCATAACCAGACAAGAGGTCATAGTGTCACCCTGGACCTCCTCACCTGCATCAACTATTACCATATAATAAAGTTAATGGTGCGATTTTAAAATCTGCCCTCATATCTCCAGAGAGCCAGTGTAATGAGACTGGTACATGTGTCTCTGAGGTTAAAAGAAGAATCTGAAGGACTGTGAGATGATTAAGAGGATATGTAACTGTTTTTATAAAGCTGTTACAAAGAACTGGTATAAACCTGATCCTCTGAGTCTTAAAGGAAGGGAAATCTTTATGATGGAAAGGATGACGTTCTTTCTAAGGTCTGAAGGTCTAAAAGTGGAAGAAATGGATCATCTTTATGGGTGCTGAAGAAGATGTTGCCTTCTTATAAATTAGATGGTTATGGACACTTAGGACAGTATATGATTTGTTTAATTAAATAACATGGATCCTCAGCTATACAGTTCTTTTTGTAAGACTGAAAAACTGAAATTTAGGATCTAGGTTGGCAAATCAGATGCATATTTATCGTGAAAATATCAATTAATATATTTATTAGTGTGATACTCAATGTACCAAGTGTATTTTGAGCGGGTTATTTGTACCCACATGCAGGATGAGCATCCAGACCATCAGGAATGTGTTCAGCGTGGACACTGGTTACCGCCTGTCAGATGACCAGATGGTTAACCACTTCCCCAATCATTATGAGCTGACTAGGAAGGACCTGATGATCAAGAACATCAAACGCTATCGCAAGGAGCTGGAGAAAGAAAGCAGTCCGTTAGCGGAGAAAGACGAGAATGGAAAATACATTTATCTGGGTACATGACTTGCTCCTATTTTGCCTCACAAAACTCAAAGAGCCACGCTGTTTTCTTCAATGAAACTGCTTTTTCTCTTTGTGCAGATTTCGTCCCGGTGACGTTCATGCTTCCTGCTGATTATAACCTCTTTGTGGAGGAGTTTCGTAAGAATCCATCCAGCACCTGGATAATGAAGCCCTGCGGGAAGGCCCAGGGGAAAGGCATCTTCCTCATTAACAAGCTGTCCCAGATTAAAAAGTGGTCGAGAGACAGCCGCACCTCAACGTGAGTTATCGTGTGACCAGACAGAAGCAGCAAGAAATATTGTGAGAAATTAGCATATCTCTAAATTTCCTATTACAAAAAGCCTCTATATAACTGTTCCCCTCTTGTTTTGTCAGATAGTCTCATCTAAGGAAGCTACAAAAGTTCTTTCTGGATTTGAACACATGCTAAATCTGTTTTATAGACAATTTCTTTCCTGGTAAATCTAAAATTGTTTGGTCACAGGCTGTCGTGTGCTGATGCCTGGCTGTGTCTTTGCCCCAGGTTTGTAGCAGCATCTAGTGGCAAGGAAGCTTATGTCATCTCTCTGTACATTGACAACCCTCTGCTGATAGGGGGGAAGAAGTTTGACCTGCGTCTTTATGTCCTGGTGACCACATATCGACCCCTGAAATGCTACATGTAAGCCTGTGATACTGTTGATGGGTTTTTTGATCATGTCAAAAACATCAGTATATAGGAGATGTTAAGAGGATTTTTTCCTGTTTTGTTAGTGGTTATTCTCAAACGTGCACACAAAAAACTGTTGTTTAATGCTCTCTCTCTCTGGCGTTCGACTTTCAGGTACAAGCTGGGCTTCTGCCGGTTCTGCACAGTGAAGTACACACCCAGCACCAGCGAACTGGACAACATGTTTGTGCACCTCACTAACGTGGCCATCCAAAAACATGGGGTAGGTCTGGTGGGGTTCACAGGAAGTAGTATAAAGCTTTTGTGTTAGCAACAGGGGACTTTCTGTTTCTCCATCTCTTGCTAGATCCTCATTGACTTGTAAATGTTCACATTTTATCCAAATCCACCGTCACGGTTTATAACACAGGGTTTCTGTTTGAAAATGCAATGTTTCAACACTTTCAGGAAATGTCACTACTTGGAAAATTGGTAGCTTGCCCATTGTTGAGAATAGTCTGAATTCTGCACATATAGCACATCTATGCACCTGCCTCACCACATTACAGGCAGTCCCTAACATGGCACAGAGTCAGGCCACTTTTAGCTTTCTGGGAGCTGGAGCTCAAACAGTTACTGCTGTATCACATTCTGTTGGAGGGATTCAGCACAGGCCTCTTTAAACTCAGGAAACTCTTTAAGAAAACTATGTGCAATTTCAGCAGGACATCTCAGTTTTTCTACAAGATAAGAAATGTTGCTGTAGTAAATGTCAGCACACTTCTTAGAGCCTAAATTGTAAGAAATACATGTCAAAGTTTCAGAAAAAGTTCTGGTAGCTCACTGCTCATACTATCCTGTAATTATGAAACAATGTTAATGTTAATTCACAGAATTTTCTTTTCTTACTGTGGATCTATCATAAGAAACAGGACTTTCTATAGTGAAACAAGAACTTTTCTGTCATTTAATTGTTTATCTTAATTACTTTAGTGTAGAATAATTGACCATAAAAGACCATAAAACTAGGAAAAGCAGTAAAACTCATGAAAATAAAACAACATTTATACCCTACTTCATATTTTCCAAAGCTGTCCAGTGGGCCGAATTGGAGTTTGTGTGAGCTGTTTCAGGCCCCCGGGCCTTATGTTTGACACCTCTGCTTTAAATAAACTTCCTGTTTACACAGAATAGTTGAAACTGTTCTCTTGCCAAAACTGAGTGAGAAAACCAATTGGCATGATCTGATCGAGAATGATTTAACATAACTTTATGAAATAGTCCCTGGTTACAGATATTTGTGACTCTTGTAATGTTGTAATTTGTAACTCAAGTTACCACAATCATCAAGATCAACCTTCACTTTCTGTATTTCTGTGTCCAACCTTTATGTCATAAACAGAGTTAATAGTTGAGTGACCATTAGCACTTGCAGCATAAACAGTGTCAGTTGTACACTTGTCGTAAATACTTTGCTTTGACTGATTCTCCGATTGACCAAGAACCTTGGTTAGTCCGGGTTTGTGACAGCAGCTTCCTGTTGCTGAGCAAGTTCCTGATACTCAAGATAAGAAACATTTTGCATAACTTAACGCAAAAACATAACACCCGTGACTTTTGTGCAGCTCCAGACTTTGTCTGCCCCTAGCCCTCAGTGGCACGGTGGTTGTATTCTGACTTCTAATCCTGCCTCAGAAGGGTGGCTGGATTCTGACTCATAAGAAGAAGGGAAGAGGGAATGAGGCACCTACTAATAGTCTCTGATCTGTTAACATCTTTTACTGTGCTGAATAACTATATATTTATATGTATAACTTCTTATTTATTGAGACACTCACTGAGCATTTTCAAGTCTAAAAAGTGATATGTGCGTATTTTGTAAAATAAATTGATACAATCATGATTAATTTCTACTTAGACTCTTTACCTTTGATGCAGGATGACTACAACCATGTCCATGGAGGGAAGTGGACGGTCAGTAACCTCCGTTTGTACTTAGAGAGCACCAGAGGAAAGGAGGTGACAAACAGGTTGTTTGACCAGATCCACTGGATCGTGGTGCAGTCACTGAAGGCTGTAGCTGTAAGTTGATGTGATGTTAGTTGTTTTTTTTTTTAAAAATAATATATTAAGAAGGTGTGTTCCTAATCCATATGATGTTTCGCTCATAGGTGAGCTAGGTCTATTAGGTAAACCTTGATAAGGTCAGGTTGGGCCCCCTTTTGCCTTGAGAACTTCCTTAATTCTTTGTGGCATAGATTTGTCAAGCTGTTTCCAACAATATGGAGGCGTCCAAGACCTTTGCATAATAATGTAAATAACATTTGCTTATAAATGTTCTATATATACGCTAGCTGTTTCCAACAGCTTGACAAATCTTGCTTCATATTGACATTCTAGCAACAAACTGTTCTTGCAGATCAAACCAACAACCATGCCATGTTCAAAGGCACTTGAACTGAGGGATGACTGTGATGACAGCGGCTATATGTGCAGGCGGGGCCGTGCGCGTGTCATCACACGTCATCTGTCTTAAAGGCGTGATTAAAGGTTTCTTCAGCCAGGACACGCGAGGGCGTGATATCCCATACTTATTTGTTGTACCGAGTGAATCGACTGAAAGGGAACTGTTCTTGCAGATCAAACCAACAACCATGCCATGTTCAAAGGCACTTCCTCATGCTAATGCTCAGTTTGGACTTCAGCAGGTCATCTTGACCCTGTGTTAATGCCTAAATGCATTGAGTTGCTGATTTGAGTTAACACAAAAATCCGAACAGCTGGACCTAATAAAATGGCCTGTGAATGTATTGTTACCTACCACCATATATTCTGCAGATCCTTTTTCAGTTTTCAGGCAACACCAGGAAGTTTAATGGGTTTTTTTTTCTTATTACAGTTTTCACATGAAGTAACAGTTAATTGTGGAGAGTGCTGCTAAAGTAAACATATTGTCTGTGCATTTTTGCCAGTGTATATTATAAGATTATGATGCATATAAATTTAGTTCTTTAATTTCGCTCTGCAGTAACTTTTTGGCAACTTGGAGGGTTACAGTTCTGACGCAGCTTATCATCACCCTTAGATGTGGTTAGCTAACAGTTCCTAATTTAAACATCTGACAGAAGCTGTTTTCAAGCCACAGCGTTCACCCTGTGTAAAAGTTAATGTCTGATTTGTAACTGCTCAAACATTTTGAAACACACTGTTGCAAAGCCACCTGGTTGTGGTGATGGCTTTTTTGTTTTTAGAACAACTGCACAATCAGCCTAATGCACACTTCCTCTTTCTGCTAAGTGATTGGACTTGCTTCCTGTCTAAAGCCTCCACTTTGTGTGCCTATAGTTATGACTGATTATTTTTTAACATCCTTCGTTGATGAATCGCTCAGTGCTGCATCAATAAGTTTCCACATAAAAGAATCACTCTTGAGAAGATCCCTCGTGCTAAATCACTCTCTGCTTTTCTGTCTCACAGCCTGTGATGAACAATGACAAGCACTGTTTCGAGTGTTACGGGTATGACATCATTATTGATGACAAGTTGAAGCCATGGCTTATTGAGGTAAGAAGTTTAAAAAAGGAATTAACAATTTATAAAAGTGTTTTTCTTTACTTATTTTTCTTTCTTTTCTTTTTTTTTTGGCATATTTGAGTCCTTGATTACTTATCGGGGTTGCACAGTAACACCATGTTCCTTTCCTTAGATTGTCGAGTAAATTTGAATGCCCTTGAGGTATGCTTAGATGTGTATTCAAATGTGTGCTGAAGGTCTGCTTTTAACTCATGCAATGCTGCTGCAAGCACTGCTCAAAGGAGAGGGAACTGAGAATTGCCATGCAATACATTCTTTTGTTGTTACGGTATGAGACTTTCATATTTTGACAGCTGTACAATGTGTTGCTAGGTTTTGAGGCTAGGTCTGAGCTATTTCTGTTCACAGACACCATTCTGCTCTATTTTGGGCAAAAACAAGTTGGTTGAAGGGCATAAAGGCTCCTCAGTGAGCAACTTGTGCCACAAACCTACTCAAGACCACGCTCTGTTGTTCATTAATCTTGCAGCTTCCTCTGTTACGCTACGAGGAGCTAAAGTAGGTCTTTGTGTTGCTGCCTTTCACATTGATGATAGAGTAACTGCTCCATCTCGTTCTCTGCACTCATGTAAATCTTCCACAGTGTATCTAATGTTCTAATGTAGCAGCTACACTTCCTGATAAAAGCTTCTCTGTAAAGACAGGAAGAGATTAAAACAATCTGCTCCTACCTGTTTGGATCCCTGGGGTATTATTAAGCACTGCCTATTTGCTGCAAAAGCAGATCCATTTGCGCATGGTGCAACCCCCCCTTTAAATATAAATGTGGTTTTCTTGGTGTGATCCTCAGGTCAACGCCTCTCCCTCGTTGACATCCAGCACAGCCAATGACCGCATCCTTAAGTACAACCTCATTAATGACACCCTCAACATCGTAACACCCAATGGGGATATTCCAGACTGCCGCTGGAATCGGAGTCCGCCTAGGGAGGCCCTGGGCAACTATCAAATCCTGTGAGTGAACATGTCAATCATATTCAGGCCTTAAAGACCAAAATTGTATGAGAACTAATTTTGTTTTTAAGCTCCACATTCACAAAGTGTATAGAAATGTGTCAAAGAAAGACAGCAGGGATGTAGACTAATGGCCACTGGGTATGGTTTGTCTGTACAGAATATCTGGCCTTCAAACTACATTTTGTTCAGGCTATACAGATACAGATATCATCAGTCATGAAAGGATTGCTGCTGTCTTCCTTCGATAGCTCAGCTGGTAGAGCAGAGGACCATAACATGGATGCAACGTCATATCCTTAGGTAGTAGATTGGGCTGACGTCGTATCCGTGGCTATCCTCAGTCGCTGGTTCAAGTCCAGCTTGAAGGGAGATGTGATTGAAGTCCTCCTTTTCTCGGATGACTGATCAGTTCGTTTACTGCCTAATAGAGCTCTTTTAACTGCTGCCCTTTTTAGAGAATTGTGCTTCTCATATATTCGTGTAAAGATTTTGCTCTAGTGGAACTACT